GATACAGACATGCAAACTAAAAATATACAGCAGGCACCATCAGATTCGGGAGCAACCCACGAGCTCCTGCATACCAGGCGAGGTAGTTAACATCGCCGAGTCATCGTGGCACCCACTAGACCTCCGCTTTGAGTATAGGCACTCTCCAGGTAACAGCCACACCTCACATGATGTGCACCACAGTTTCTGCTTAGAAAATTACAGTGCAGAGTGCAGTCTGTTCTCCTATAACGTGGTAGTAGTGTTTGCATTCCTGAAGACCATTATGTTATAGGACAATCGCGTTGTAATCTAACCTATAAAAGTAATTTTTTGTCCGTCCGTCCATCCACACACGTGCGCTTGCGAGGGATTTGGCTCTCGATCTGTGGGGTTTACGTTGAAAAAAAATTGCCAGGCAGCACACTAAGCCCCGCGGTGGTCAAGCGCTATGCCGTTTTCCCATCCTTAAACTTTAAAATAGTTAAAATAGCGTTTTAGTGCGATTTCTCTTTATTTATTTCCCCGCTCTGCTCAAGCTGCATGGGGGTTGCCCCTGGCAATGCATGCGTGTCATCGGTGGAGGGTGGAGGGGATTTCTCATTCGCATTGAAAATGAAAAAAATATATATACGCAACGCTGTGGTAAATTCATCAGTGTCATGTCCTCTTCTCTCCTCCCCCCACCCCAATGTGTGCACTTACTACTATAGGGTCGGTAGATACTAATATAGCTTTTAGATAGTATTATTGTAGCTCGGGCGGGGGGAATGGTGGGGGGGGGGGGGGGGGGTGTGGTAGCGGCCCAGCCCCCAGCCTGGTAATGTGTCACCTGCTCCGGCTGGGCAATCTAGGCGAGGCCACAGGTCTAGGCCTCACCACGGCAATGTAAAGTACTAAGGTTCATTGGTACTATTGTTGTGGTGTAAATGATGACACGGAGAGCAGTCGTTGTGGGGGGCTGATGCCAACTGTTTATTTAGGGCTTCCCGCCTAAGGTTTGGGGAAGGGTTAACACCGGACTCGGCTAAGCCAATCTCCCCAGGGGAAGGGTACTGGGAATCCCTACGCCTCCCAGGCTAACGGGCTCTTCCCACAGCGCTGGTCGACGGTTAAGCCAACTCGGCCAGCCGGGTAAAGTAGCCCCCCTTAGCCTGGTGCTATTTCTCCCCTACCCTGGGTCCCCACTCTCATACCGCTCACAACCCCGGCTCCTGGCGAAGACCCCGAACACGTCACGGGTCCCCCCTCAAATACCCCGAGGGGACATGACGTCACTCCTCCCGAGGCGAGTGTGACAATCCGTCACCACTCTACTCCTCAACACTATGCAACAAATATTACAATAATAATGTTTGTGTGCAGAAAACAAATTTTTCATTAGGTTGCTAAATTTGATTTTTATAGGTGTTTTTATGACGCTACGATGGTGTCCAGCCAGTCTGTGCTGTGGCCTGTTGCCTGCTGATTAATTAACGTCCATGCAATGGCACTATTATCTATAGGCTAATTTTGCTTTTGGCCATTATGAGTGTATGCCAGTATATTATCTGCTGCCTGCTTCTTTACCTCACTCAGTGTACTGCCAGCCTTTCATGTCGACTGTATTCTGCTTTTTCAGCTGCTGACTGTATTGCCAGCTTTTTATGTCGACTGTAGCAATGCTTATGTCATTGAGTCGGCATACTGGCAGTCTATAATCTAGACTGTAGCCTGCTTCTCAACTTAGCTGTGCGTACTGCTGCTCTTTAATGTACACTTATTTCAGCTTGTTTATTCAATGATGACGGAAAAAATTAATGCAAGTGACATTGACACATTTGTCAGTGCTGAGCTACCTGGCCCCCATCAAGACCCTGCCCTGTTTGATGTGGTCTGCAAGCAAATGGTCCATGGCCCGTGTGGGCAGTTCAATCCAAATTCGCCATTTATGCAAGACCGCAGGTGTACCAAGAAGTATCCACGCAACTTCTTGAAAGTCACTCATTCAGGCCATGATGGCTATCCTCTATATCGTCGCATAAAAATGGAGCATGGTGGATTTGAAACAACACTCAGACCTACCACTAACTCTTAAATGAAGGTTGACAACCAGTGGATCGCCCTCTTCTGTGCAAGATCTTCGAGGCCCACATTAATGTGGAATTCTACAATTCTGTGCAAGCCATCAAATAACTTTGGAAATACATAAACAACGTCTCTGACATGCCTGTCTTTGACTTGCAAAAAGAGGGGCAAAGTGTGGGTGAGGTTTAACTTTTTGTCCAAGGAAGATACATCAGCAGAAATGAGGCCACTTGGATAATTCCTGACTCCCCCATCCATGAGCGTTCCCCCCCAGTCGTCCATTTGGAAGTTCAACTGGAAAATGGTCAACGCATCTACTTCACCAAGGGAAATGACCAACAACAGGCCCTGGCTCCACAAGATACCACCCTGATGGCGTTCTTTGTTTTGTGCCAAAGTTACCCATTTGCTGCAAACCTGCTCTAAAAGTGCAAATGTGTGTGTGTAAGTCCATATGTGTGTGCATGTAGGTCGATGTGCGTGTGTGTGTCTTTGCCCGGGCAATGCTGGGTACTTCCTGCTAGTAGTGAATAAAACTAAACAAAATAATGTAACATGAAAAATATAATCGGTTTTATTCACGCTCACCTCGAGTCCTGATGCTAGCTTGCTTGTTGGAAGGAGAGTGCATCACGCGGGATGCGGGGCCTCATCACATCTGAACAAAGTAGTTCCGCGGTTCATCTTATGGGCAATGTTCGTAAGCGCGGGCGGTCGTAAGGATGCAGCTATTCGTGAGCACTCGGCGTTCGTAAGCACATGGGCATTTGTAAGCGCCGGCGTTCGTAAGCCCGGAAGTTTCGTATCCCCGGGACCGCCTGTATGGTACTGCATTTTCACTGCATTTAGGTTTTTCAGGAAAACAAGCCGAATGCATAGAGGTTCGCCACTGCGAGTTTTATTTATTACCGTAGTTGCACAGAAGTCCCTGGCAGCAGGAGGTGCTATCGACGGTTCCAACGAACGTCGACAGTTTTCCGAGGATGTACTGTTTCATCTGGTCCTTGAAGTCGGGCGCATCGCACTGTGCTTTTGTGGTACAGGCTCTGGCCAGGTAACGAATACCATCTGCAATGGAGAATTAATTGGAGTGAAGAAAAAAAGAAAAAAAGCTGCATTTAAGTATAAACGACATACAATTTGCAAGTGCACGCAATTAAATTAAACGTTTTGTTGTTGTTGGTAAAGCGCGTCCAAAAATGTGCAAAATAAGATTACGTATAAGTACAGCAAAACCAATCCCTCTCGCGGGTTTTAGCCATCGCGATTTTGTGAGAAATTCATGAAGAAACGAACATGTTTTGTTATATTACAATCAATTATTAGAGCACATTCGTTTGCATGTTTACCACAAGTACTGTGTGTGGTTAATGCTGTACATGATGCTGTACAATAAGTATCGATTTGGTGTTTGAACATCTTAACACAACTTCTGCTTTATTTCCAGAAAGGGTATAAAGCCTATTATCTTTTCATTATTTTTATACTGGCATCAAAGGTATGCCATAGATGTAAGCGCTGCTCAATGCGAGCTGTAAGTGCTCTGATACTTGCCATTATCTTTGCACCGTTCACCTTTTGGCATTGTTCTATGGTCTGTCACTGGTGCAGAGACAAGGCCCTTAAGAATGGTGCCGTCTCTGGTGTAGGCCAATCGGTTCTAAGCACAATGCTTATATTACCGGAGGACCTGAAGAAAAATCAATGCAGTGACCACCATGGGAAGAGACTCCAAATATACAACAGGCATTGTCAGGGTCCAGGATTTATCTCACTGCCTAATATATACCAGGCGAGGGAGATAACATATCCAGGGGGAGAGAGATAGACGCAGACTCCAAATATATAGCAGCCTCGACCCGGAAGCACTTACTCTGAGTCAGTTGCATCGTCACGCATGAGTCTCGCCCCATTGCACATTTAGATGATTTTTCAGGAATCCCCAAATCAGCACTTCCGCTTTTGCAGTAAACAGCCGGAGCTGAAAAATTGTACAAAGACGCACATTAGTATTTAAACTCAACCATTTTTTACCAAGTGTAAGGCCCCATTGAGCTGTTACGTAGTAGCTCTTTTTTTGGAAGCGACCTGGCATCACAGATGATAGCAACTCAGCGAAGTGACTGATATGCTCACGTGGAAATTTAGGGCAACCAAACACTCTAAACCCGTGTTTCTAAATGTGAAGGGAAAAACCGGAGTGCCCAGCTTAAAAATCCATGCGACCACCACGGGGGATATAGAGACGCAAACTCCACATATAACAGCAGCATGCATCGTCTGGGTCGAACTTCACGAACCTCCTGCATACCAGGCGAAGTAGTTAACATCTTCGAGCCATCGTGGCGCCCACTAGACCTCACTTTGAGTATAATCACTCTCCAGGTAACAGCCACACCCCTCCAACACCTCACACCAGGGACGGAGCCAGGATTTCAGGCCGGGGTGACATTCAAAACATTTTAATTTCAAGAATGATTAGAGAGTCAGGCTGTTGAACTAGACGCCATCGGTTGGCGACACACTCTGACAATGCAGTTGCACGGAGTCCGCCAGACCGAGTGTCGTACACTTACATGCAGAATGTCATGCCTGTCACCCCCCTGGCTCCGCCCCTGCCTCACACGATGTGCACCACAGTTTTTGGTTCAAAAATTACAGTACAGATTAGTCTGTTCTCCTATGACGTATGGTAGTTTTGATTTGAAGCTTTCGTGACTGCAGGAATCCATACTCTGGTTCTTTCAGTAAAGTCAAGTAGATAGAAAAAATAAAAGAAACACGACGTTTTGGTCGCAACACAAGCGTCCTTCATCAGGTGAGAAAGAATGATCTGCTGTTGTGGCTTTACATAGGCACGGGAAGGGGGGGGGGAGTTTTTGTAGAGTCGTGGCTGCAGGAGTTCACGGGGGGGGAGGGTTTGTGGCGTGCAAGGACGGGTGGGGGCTGGCACGGGGAGGTAGTGGGGCTGGAGAAATTAGCATGTCAATGAGTTTTAATTAGTACACTAAAACGAAAAACGGCACGGGTGGGTGAGTAAAAATAACAGCAGTTAAAACTTTACGTGGTTTATCACGTCCTTCCAATGATTGCTCAACCTGAATCCATCTTCTCGATTAAAGTTTTGTCTGTTTGTATATCTGGATGGCTTCATGAACAAATCTCTGATGATGGCACGAGGGTTTTCAGAGCATCTTGGTGTCGGAGAAAACAATGTCATGTGTGCCCACAGTGTTGAAACAATGATCCGCCACCGCCGAGGTGTTGGTTCTGCCGTGTTTCAAATCCTTTTTGTGTTCGCGAACCCCGTCTGAGACACGTCGCTTCGTTTCACCAATGTAACTGCTGCCACAGACACAACTCAGCTTATAGACACCAGGACGATAACGAGATTATAAGTAACGCAGGCCGAACAAAGAATGGAGGAGCATATAGGGTAGCCTCTAGAAGTATCCAGCAGCATCCCAATACCCTGTGTGATATGTCAAGGCATCCGTATGACCGCTTATTCCGACTCGCGCTGCGACGTAGTTCCGCTCGCTCGATCATGTTGCATCCAATTCACAAAAAAAAAATTCCCTGTAATACATTCTTCACTTTTCATATCAAAATTCGCTTTATGAAAACACAGGGTTACAGGATAACTAACTGTATTTGCTTTCAATCACATGTCTAATTATCAGAATCCATATGCATGCATGATAAAATCTCAGCTGTGTCGAAAGTTTTATTTCATTTGAGCTTTGGGTCAAATCGCCCATCAGGTTATACAATTGGATATTACGTGAAAACAGTGATAATATATGGTACGGTTTTATTTAACAGTACATGGTTCAGGTTTTCAAGAACGCGACCCAAACGTACATACGGAGAGTCCTTGACTTATGAAGGAACAGGTTTTATGTTCCAGAGAGCTGTTCGCAAGTATATTTATAATCGTATCTTATAACCCAAGAGTTAATTGTACAGTAAATACGATCAGTCCCATAAAAAAGTGATACGGTTTCAATAAAAGCAGGGAAGCATAGTTAAACTCACAAATAAGACAATGTACATTTTCACGTAATACTGCAATAAATACTTTATAGTGAATAGAATCAAACGTAAAATAAAGTAACATGAAGAAAATTATCGGTAATTTTTTCCGCTCACCTCGAGTCCTGATGCTAGCTCGCTTGTCGGAAGGGGCGTGGCAACAACGCGGGATGACGTGGGGGCCTCGTCACATTTAGCGGAGGATCGCTCCGCCGAACAAAGTAGTTCCGCGGTTCATCTTACGGGGAATGTTCGTAAGCGCGCAAGCGTTCGTAAGCACAAGGCTGGTCACAAGCGTGGTCGGTCATAAGCATGCGGACGTTCGTAAGCACTGGAAGTTTCGTATCCCCGGGACAGCCTGTATGGTAACCGCATTTAGGTTTTTCAGGAAAAACAACACAAACACGGAGGTTTTTTTTAATTACCGTTGTTGCACAAAACTGTCTGGCAGCAGGAGGTGCTATCGACGGTGCCAACGAACGTCGGCAGTTGTCCGAGGATGTACTCTTTCATCTGGTCCTTGAAGTCGAACGCATGGCACTGTGCTTGTGTAGCACAGGTTCTGGCCTGGTAAGGAATACCATCTGGAATGGAGGTGTAATTGGAGAGAAGAAAAAAAGAACCAAAAAATCTGCAGTTAGGTATAAATGACATATCATTAGCGCATGTACGTAATGAAACTTAACGTTTTTCAACGGTTTTACTTAACTTGACTCCTGTGTCGTGGTCAAATCGTCAAATCTTGTAATTTACATTTCGATCGCTTCCCGTTGTCCAATCAATCCCTAATTTTGCACAAGTACTCAGATCCGGTGACAATGCATGCCTATATCAAATAATCATTTAATTGGCTCCTTGAAAGCGATTCACTTTTTGTATGGACGACTTGTTAGTGGTCAAAAACGCCGCGGTCCCTAAACTCTGGAATCGGCTCGCCCAAGAAGCAGGCGCCACGTGTCTCAGGCGCCACGTGTCTCAGGCGCGCCTGCTCCGTGTCAAATGCTTACAGGCATCCTCCATACAAAAGTTGTACATTGAAGATTCATTTATAAAATAACCTATTAATTCAAGTAAGCGTTGATGTGGGAGCAGGCGCCGCATCATTGGCGTACTTCTCGACGGTGAGTTAAACTAAGTTGTGAAAAAAAGTCTCATTGTATGTCGTCCTCAAATTTTGTAATCAAAATGTCCTCCAGTTACCGTTATCCAATCGATCCCAAATTTTGCACACACTGACATCCAGACACAATGCATGCCTGATCAAAATCTCCAACTAATCAATTACTTGCCTCGTTTAAACCAATTAATATTTGGGTTTGAAGCCTTATTCCACGAGTGCTTTGCAAACAGGTTTTGTTCAAAATATATATATTAATACCAACGTAGGAGTCGACACGTCGAAACTTGCCTGGAACATATTCAAGGTAAACAGTCACATCAAATGCTTTGAACACGAAATTTAACACTCTTCTGAAATTCGTGGTCCGCCAGGAAGTGTCTGTGTTGTTGGCCTGACTGGATGTGCTTCACATAATGTGTTTTCAGGTTTGTTGAATTCTCATCTCATCTTTTTGTTGTATTTACCTCCGTGATTTGTTCTTGACACCTAATGAAGATCGCTTGCGTTGTGATCGAAACGTCGTGATTGTTTTTTTGTTTAAATATAATTTTATTGTATTTCTACATACGTGACTTTACCGAAAAAAACAATGAGTAAGTTTACAAAAGTTGTTTATTATGATGTAGTGCATCCAATGGCACAATGCATAGACAGGGTCAATGACTTCATTTTTGCACTAACCCCTTTGAAAGTGACATTTTTACATTTGTATTGATGTTTTATTCATATACTTTTTATATGGCGGTTTGTGGTCGACAAATCGTTTGAGTGTTGGCCTTTCGAACTCAAGCTCAAAAGTTCAAATCTTGGAGATGAAATTTGTATTTCTTGTTCAATTAACATTTTTGGTACTTATATAGAGCTTTAAACTCTTGCACATTTTAGAGTGAGTTGTCTGTGCTTGATAAGTTGACTGAGGTTTGGAAATGTGACTTTTATATTAACATTTTTAACTCTCAGCTCGTGAGTTCAAGCCCCGACTTATCACAAATTGCCAGCTACTCTTTGACCCAAAGTCATTTGTCCTATACAAACCAACAAATCAACATCACATACAATCAAGAAATCATGATGGTCGATTGCAATCTGTGCGTGAACACACGTGACAATTCAGAGTTGCAGAAAGACTTGAAGCACGTGATGTCACATGAAAGCGAAATCGTCTATCAATCGCAACATCTTCAAGCACTCAATGCTGACATGACAACATTTGACAATGCAATCAACACATTCTGTCATAAAATCAGTAAAGTCTGCACTAAACTCTCCTATCCAAAATAATATTTACAGAGTGCGACGTAACAAAAATGCATTGCACTATCTACCAATCGAATTGTCATCAAAGCAAACATTGGAAATGTGTTCACATTGCAAGACACACACCAACAGTGACAAAAGAGCTGCACCGCCAAAAGCTCACTGGAATTATTTGGATCCTGGTGAAATTCCAGATGTGATTCAACAGCCAGAACAACGTCTATTATCAATAGTTATACCATTTGTCAAGATCATCAAATTCTGTGGAGTCTTCAGTCAATTTGGCTTCCGTGGACAGGTGGTGCTCTTTGCTATGGACATTTTTAAAGTTAGTGACACACTTCCACGAGCAATGCATAATACTGCAATGGTTGTCATCACAAAACATCTTGAGAATCTAAACATCACACGTGAATTCTCTATAATTCGGAAATAAGTTTACAATGCACTCAACTGGCTAATTCAAAAAAGCCACTTTATCGGGATGTAACAATCAATTAAGAAGCAAACATCGCTGATGTACATTCAGTTGCTTTTCCTGTGCAACAACCAGTGGAACAAAATCAGCCGCAATAACCTGCTAATGCTTACATGGCAATCAATGAAAGACCAAGAATTGTTCACGCTGCACGGCATCAGGCAAATGAAGATGTGTTTACATGTTCCAATGCAGGCGTTCAATGTTGCACAATGGTGCTGGCAAATATTGTAAGAGCTGCTATATTGCTGTTGTATATATAGGCCTTTTTCCCAAAAATTACATTAAGAAAAATTCTGCCAATATTTTTTTAATCAATTGCGATGTCGCTTGGGGCAAAAGGAGGTGGTGCGACCCCCCTCCCTCCCATCACACAGCAGCTGCCTTTCACACTCGGGACCAGGCAGCCGGAGATAAGCCATAAAATGCAATAAAAACACCAGTAATAAAAAGAAGGGGTGGGGGGGGGTTTGCTAATCCGATTCTGGGGAATCTCTACACGACTTCAAAAGGCCACCTCAAAAGAGTACAGACAGCAGGCGCCACGAAACAGGCAACGTTTATTTTTGTATTGTTTTTGTTTCTCTTAACACAACGGTAAAATTTCAAAACTTAGCGACAAGAATAAGTGAACATCATAGACTCACACACTCCGATGAAAAACCAGGTGACAATCTACATTAGTGGGTTATTATTTCTCATATATTATTTTTTATACTAATGTTATTCACCTTTTTTATATTATTAGATATAAGTAATATTAAAGGAGCGCCCCACGGTCTTATGTTTTAGTTACAAATGTCGAAAAATATTCTGAACTACTGGTGATGGCTGAAAAAAAATATTTTTTACTTTTTAGTGCACTTTAAAATTAAACCGTTATTTTTAAAACCTTTTTTTAAGGAGTTTATTTGTTGTTGGTAAAGCGCGTCCCAAAATGTGCAAAATAAGGGATTACGTACAAGTGTAGTGGTGTTATGGTACAAACACACATCTGTTACAGCCGTTAGGGTGTTACGGGACAAACGCACGTCGGTTACAGCTAGCATCCAGGGCTTACCCAAAGGGGGCTATGGGATTTGGATCCCCCGCGCCCCTTCCAAAGGGTGGGCTACGGGGTGTGTTTCGATCCCTCAGAACCCCGCCCCTCGGTGGGCAATTGGTATAAAAGACGGAGAGCCAGAGAGAGATAGGGGCAGTGTTCAAGAGCCGAAGTACGAAGACCCAGTTGAAGACTGAAGGCCGGCTAGATAGACCCTGGATATCCTTTGACCCGCTGTCCTTCTCAGGGCCGGGCAGAGAAAGCCAGCGGTGTGGCCCCAGAGCCTCAGAGTCGATGTCCTGATGTAGAGGTGTTAACTACGCGCTGTTGCGTAACCTGCGTTGCCACCAGGGCGGTGCAGCATTACCCCTGGGTACAACGGTTGGGGTCAGTCGAGGTGAAACGGATCGTGGCCAGGGTTTGGTGCAAACCAATCAGACGGTTCCACGTGGGAATGTATGATTGGTTCTACCTGGCCACGAAGGGGTATAAGACGGGTGACCCAACGGACCTCGGGGAGTTCTCTCCCTGCACGAAGATAGAAGACTGGGCTGAAGCCTAGCTAGGACCCTGGACCAGCCTTTCAGCCCTTCTAAGGGCTAAGGCTCGGCATACCCAGTGGTCAGGACCCACCGGGCCAGCGGTGGGTCAGATAGCCTCCCCTAGGTCCTAGCCGGAGGACTAGGATAGCGGTAGACGTGTGAGTCCCGCCAAGTCCGGAGGTTGTACCTCCTTAGGTATCAAGGAGGTTAGCGGTAGACGTGTGAGTCCCGCCAGGTCCGGAGGCTGTACCTCCCTAGGGTATCGGGTGAGGGGACCGAATATCCCTCTGTGTGTGTTAAGCGTTGTATAAGGAAATAATACAATAAACAGAGTGTGCCTCCTAAAGAAGTCTGCTCGTCCTTACAACACTACAACTGGAGTCAGAAGTGGTTGGAAATGGAAACCAGAAGTTCAGCCCACGCGCAGAGCCAGAACGAAGATAACGCTGTCTCACCTGCAAGCACCGCCAGCTCCGCTGAAAACGCTGCCGCGTTGACGGCCGCCCAGCCACCGGTTGAGCAGCCGGTTGCTCCCCCTGCCATGGGGGACGGACTCAGGGCAGCACACGGCCGTCTCGCTCAACTCCTACACGCCGCGGCCTCCACTCTCGAAGAGATCAACTTGGAGGTTGCGGGCAGGCCGAGTCAACCGCCGGCAGACGTTCCCGCCATCGGCCGGGGCAGACATTTTGATTTTCCCGCCGGGGAACCACGTGATTCCGCCGGAAGCGGAAGCCAGGGGCATCCTGGGAACGCGGGGGGCCAATCACAACCCGCAACGTCATCAGCACGCGACGCTGCGGATTCAAGTTCCTCAACGGACGCCGCGTCATTACTGTACCGACACGGTACAGTAGACTCTATCGGCTGGGAAATCGCCGATCTCCGGCTCGAGACGGTACAAGCTGAGGGGGAGACGACGTCCGCCCTCCAACAACGCCTGCCCATCTTCCGAGAATTCACATCTGAAGGGGGCGACTGGGCGGCGTTCCAGCGTCGCTTCCTGAGCCACCAAGAGATGGTGGGCTGGTCGGACGCACAGGCGCTCCGAGCACTACCGGCCACTTTGGATGACGGCGCTCTCGCCTCGCTCCTCACCATCCCCAGGCAACAAAGGGCGACTCTTCAATCGGCCCTCCGACGGA